TGGCACTGATAGTTCTCTAGCTCTACCGTTCTGATAATGCCAACAACATGCAAACGGTGACTCTCCCTACCTCTGGTTTATAATATGGCTGTGTTTGAGGGGATTCTCACAGAGCAAGTGAAAGGCCTGATCTCAGAGCTACCCACTGTCAGATCTCCAAGTTCCTGTTCCAAACCACACAGATGAGAGAGCTCTTCAGAACAGAAAGTGAGGGGGGAAATAGTTAACATTGGCATTCTTTGCTGTTCGACATGGCTGTACCGGTTTGGGTGAAACTTAAAAAACCCCAACCAACCAAACCCTGAATTCCGGGGGCAGAGATTTTAGGAACAAACAGGTAAAGTTATAAACAACTGAAAATAGAGGGTTATTAGGGTGAGCATCAGGCAATCTGAACGATGCACATCTCGAATGCTCGTCCTTAGTAGCTCTCTGTCTTTATGGTATTACGGGGGTGTTTGATTATGTAGGGCTCAGTTCTGCTGCCAGTTTGAAATCTAGTCTGTTTCAAAACAGGTTAACAGCAGTTTCTGCTCCTGCATCTGCTTCTTAGATGTCCTTCTATGTATAGTTTTACAGTCACTCTTTACTATCTTAAAGGATTATTTTTTTCTGCCCAGTTGCTCTGTGAAAAACCGGCACAAACACGGGAAACCGACAAAGTGTGCAGCAGAAATTGTGAGAGAGACTGTACACAAAGTGCTGTCAAATGCAGCGAGACTTCAGTCGCTTTAATCATGTGAGTAATCTCACTGATTTCCATGAGACTAATCAAGTGATACAAAACAGCTTAACATTATCAGAAGGACTTACTTTAAAATAATCAAATCAATGTAACCGTAATTCTGTGGACTCATAAACATCCTTCCACCCTCCACATAAATTAAATACAGTTCCCAGTTAGTTTGAGCTGAAAAACAACAGAAGCTTTTTTTAAAGGTCATTAGACTGCATGAGAATGTATCAAATGAATGTTATAAAGGCTGGAGATGGAAAATGAGAACTCCTTCACGGGGTTTTTGGATGCAGCCTGCTTTCTGGTGAAGATCAGTCTGGTTGAGAGCTACCATACCTGGAATATGCTCTTCGGTTGTCACAAATCTCTGACTCGGGAGACCTCACCTGGACCGTGTGCTCAGCCCCTCTGCGAAGTCCCCAGCTGAACAGCGGGTAGTTACTGCCAAACTTCAAGGAGTTCAGAGAGGGGCAGTGAAACCGATCGGGGGCTCACAAGGGGAGACTGAAATAGCTAACGGGGCTTGGTTGGTTGATTTCTTTTCCTCAGCCCTGGTTGATTGGCTGTTTGCTGTAACCCCATCCTGGGCCCTGACCCAGGGTTACTTCACCTCAGCCTCACTCCACACCTGCTCCTCATATCTCTTCTGCCCTGTCCTCCTGGCCCCCTCCATACCCTCCTAAGTAAACTCCACACTCCCAAAAATATTACGCAATTAACATGCCATCACACTGTTCTTTTGCTCCGCTTGTGTGTTATACTCCTTCCCCTGACCCTGGGCCTATTTAGATTGTAAGTCCTTCGACACAGGGACTGTCTCTTCCTGTGTGTCTGTGCAGCACCCGGCACAACGGGTCCTGATCTCAGCTGGGGCAGGGACTGTCTCTCCCTGTGTGTCTGTGCAGCACCCGGCACAACGGGGCTCTGATCTCAGCTGGGGCAGGGACTGTCTCTCGCTGTGTGTCTGTGCAGTGCCCGGCACATCGGGCCCTGATCTCAGCTGGGGCAGGGACTGTCTCTCCCTGTGTGTCTGTGCAGCACCCGGCACATCGGGCCCTGATCTCAGCTGGGGCAGGGACTGTCTCTCCCTGTGTGTCTGTGCAGCACCCGGCACATCGGGGCCCGGACTCCGCTTGGGCA